GTTGGAGCCCTTACCTCAAAACCTTTTGCCTTTAAAGCCAGAAATTGGGAGCTAAAGGGCACAGAAAGCATTGATGTGACTGATGCCGTTGGTTCTAACATTCGAATTGATAGTAGAGGTCCGGAGGTCATGCGTGTTGTACCGCGATTAAACGAGGTACTGCACTTTATTATTGCTCTTATGTCTTTCCTCTCTGAAATGTTTAGTGGTGCTAATACATGGATTGTCATATTCATGCCGATCACCTGGCTGTCTTGAATGCCTGCGTTTTGTTCTGGTTGGAAGTTTTTCCACTTTTTAGTTTGTGTGGGTAGCCAAGCTGTAAGGGTGGTTTAAATCATTTTTTTGTTTCCCACAGTGCTTGTGCATAAGCTGAGTGTTTCCCAAGGCTCTGCCATCTTCTCTTTGTTGTTTAGTTAAATTTGATCATTTGTGTTCAATCTAAAAAAATATTGATAATTTCTGCGACCTAATCTCTTATTGTTAGCTAAGAAGCTAATAGGTGACAGAGACTTTATTTTGGAAAAAGAAAAGCCTTGGTGAAGAGGCTGCACCTGATTCTGAAAGGAGGTGTAACTAGTTCAATAGAGGTTGAATGATGTACTGACTAAAATTGATTTCTGCTTCTCTAAGGTTGTAGCTTCCTGTTTTTCCATCCTTCTCATTTGCATTCAGCGGAATGCAGCCATGCAAGTATGGCCGTTTCACCCTTTATTTTGCTCTTAACCATTCAAGAAGCATGCTTCTTTCAGTGAAAGGAAGTATATCTATGAGATTCAGTATTAACTGTGAATACATCGTTAATCTGAATTGGATCCCCTGGTGGTTTTTCTTTTATGTGCTTTTTTCCTCTGAACCTCTGCACTTTCATAGTCTTGGACGTTGATAATTTTTGTATCTGTACTGACAGGAAAATCTGCCGCTTAGTGATAGTAGAATTCTGAATTATTGTTTGTATTATTGTGTTTCTTCCTTTGTCTTCCATTGTAATTAAAACAGTGAGTTGCTGCACATAATGGCACAGGACATCAACGAGGAATGGATATCAGACAAAACACGATTCTTTTATGATGGTCTGAAGAGGCAAAGACTGAATGACCCCATGATCCGTGGTGCTGATGGACGATTTAAGGCAGTGAGTTGGCGAGATGCCCTAGCTATTGTTGCTGAAGTCATGCATCAAATTAAGCCAGAGGAAATTGTCGGTGTTGCAGGAAAGCTGTCTGATGCTGAATCCATGATGGCACTGAAAGATCTTTTGAACAAAATGGGGTCAGACAACATCTTTTGTGAAGGGAATGGCAAGCAACCAAATGCTGACCTTCGTTCTGGATACATTATGAATACCAGCATCAGTGGCTTGGAGAAAGCAGATGTTTTCCTCTTGGTTGGAACCCAGGTAAATGTTTGTAAGCATTTGGTTGGTTTAATTTTGCAAGGTTAGTTGTCTGATATTTTAAATGTGTCTATAGTTGATTGAGAAAGTCCATGATTTTTCATTCACTTCCTGTATCCATGTCTCCTACCCCTTTCCCTGTTGGCACACTTGTCCAGATACAGTAAAGGCATCCCAGGGTGTTCTTTTGGGGGAGGGATGGGTGGATCTAGCTTTAGCCAGTTTAATTGTTTCCTTATCAGCGAAAAGTTTTATCTGTAGCCAGTTGAGAGAAACATCTCATTGTAATGCCTTTTTTCAATTTAGATTAGTCTTGTCATGGTAAGAGCATAAATTCTTTCAATTGATAAAACTTTCAGCTTTCACTTTTACACTGATAGGAAAAACTAGTCTCTCTCTCTCTCTTTGAGACTC